AGTAAATGTACTTAGTTATTTTCCAAAACTACTGTGTTGTTGGTGTGGACTGTAATATAAAAAGGTGTTTCTGTGAAAAATGACCTGGGAGAACTGGGAGATCCTTTGTCAGGAGCCTTACATATATAAGCTTTAGCTGTACTTTAGTATTTTGTCAGCATTGTACAGTAGCTGAATAAACCTTTGTGAAGTTAGGCCTACATTGCACTACCTGCAGTAATTTTTACAGTGCCTTGCGAAAGTATTCGGCCCCCTTGAACTTTGCGACCTTTTGCCACATTTCAGGCTTCAAACATAAAGATATAAAACTGTAATTTTTTGTGAAGAATCAACAACAAGTGGGACACAATCATGAAGTGGAACGAAATTTATTGGATATTTCAAACTTTTTTAACAAATAAAAAACTGAATAATTGGGCGTGCAAAATTATTCAGCCCCTTTACTTTCAGTGCAGCAAACTCTCTCCAGAAGTTCAGTGAGGATCTCTGAATGATCCAATGTTGACCTAAATGACTAATGATGATAAATAGAATCCACCTGTGTGTAATCAAGTCTCCGTATAAATGCACCTGCACTGTGATAGTCTCAGAGGTCCGTTTAAAGCGCAGAGAGCATCATGAAGAACAAGGAACACACCAGGCAGGTCCGAGATACTGTTGTGGAGAAGTTTAAAGCTGGATTTGGATACAAAAAGATTTTCCAAGCTTTAAACATCCCAAGGAGCACTGTGCAAGTGATAATATTGAAATGGAAGGAGTATCAGACCACTGCAAATCTACCAAGACCTGGCCGTCCCTCTAAACTTTCAGCTCATACAAGGAGAAGACTGATCAGAGATGCAGCCAAGAGGCCCATGATCACTCTGGATGAACTGCAGAGATCTACAGCTGAGGTGGGAGACTCTGTCCATAGGACAACAATCAGTCGTATACTGCACAAATCTGGCCTTTATGGAAGAGTGGCAAGAAGAAAGCCATTTCTTAAAGATATCCATAAAAAGTGTTGTTTAAAGTTTGCCACAAGCCACCTGGGAGACGCACCAAACATGTGGAAGAAGGTGCTCTGGTCAGATGAAACCAAAATCGAACTTTTTGGCAACAATGCAAAACGTTATGTTTGGCGTAAAAGCAACACAGCTCATCACCCTGAACACACCATCCCCATTGTCAAACATGGTGGTGGCAGCATCATGGTTTGGGCCTGCTTTTCTTCAGCAGGGGCAGGGAAGATGGTTAAAATTGATGGGAAGATGGATGGAGCCAAATACAGGACCATTTTGGAAGGAAACCTGATGGAGTCTGCAACAGACCTGAGACTGGGACGGAGATTTGTCTTCCAACAAGACAATGATCCAAAACATAAAGCAAAATCTACAATGGAATGGTTCACAAATAAACATATCCAGGTGTTAGAATGGCCAAGTCAAAGTCCAGACCTGAATCCAATTGAGAATCTGTGGAAAGAACTGAAAACTGCTGTTCACAAACGCTCTCTATCCAACCTCACTGAGCTCGAGCTGTTTTGCAAGGAGGAATGGGCAAAAATTTCCGTCTCTCGATGTGCAAAACTGATAGAGACATACCCCAAGTGACTTACAGCTGTAATCGCAGCAAAAGGTGGCGCTACAAAGTATTAACTTAAGGGGGCTGAATAATTTTGCACGCCCAATTTTTCAGTTTTTTATTTGTTAAAAAAGTTTGACATATCCAATAAATTTCGTTCCACTTCATGATTGTGTCCCACTTGTTGTTGATTCTTCACAACAAATTACAGTTTTATATCTTTATGTTTGAAGCCTGAAATGTGGCAAAAGGTCGCAAAGTTCAAGGGGGCCGAATACTTTCGCAAGGCACTGTAGCTCTTGCCTCCAGTACTACTGTGAGGAACCTTGGAGTCATCTTTGATCAGAATATGTTCTTTAAATCACACATAAACCAAGTCTCTAGATCTGCCTTCTTTCACCTGCGCAATATTGCAAAAATTAGGAGCATCCTGTCTCAAAGTGATGCTGAAAAACTGGTCTATGCATTTGTTACTTCCAGGCTGGACTACTGTAACTCTTTACTATCAGGATGTCCCAATAATTCCCTAAAAAGCCTCCCGTTAATCCAAAATGCTGCAGCCAGAGTACTGACAGGAACTAGCAAGAGAGATCATATCTCTCTCATATTAGTTTCTCTCCACTGGCTCCCTGTAAAATTCAGAATAGAATTTAAAATCCTTCTCCTAACATACAAAGCCCTTAATGACAAGGCTCCATCGTATCTTAAAGACCTCATAGAGCTTCATCACAACAAAGCACTTTGCTCTCAGGTTTACTTGTGGTTCCTAGAGTCCACAGAAGCAGAATGGGAGGCAGAGCCTTTAGCTATCAAGCTCCTCTCCTATGGAACCAACTCCCAGTCTCAGTTCGGGAGGCGGACACCCTCTCTACCTTTAAGATTAGACTTAAGACGTTCCTTTTTGATAAAGCTTATAGTTAGGGCTGGATCAGGTGACCCTGAGCCTTCCCTTAGTTATGTGGCTATAGGCCTAGGCTGCTGGGGGGCCCCATGATGCTCTGAGTTTCTTTCCCCTCCCCTCCTGCTCTGCTCTCCTCTCCTCTCCTCTCCCCTCTTTGTTGGGTTTTCCCTACGTAATAATATTGATAACAGTAAGGTCTAGACCTTACTTTGTAAAGTGTCCTGAGTTGACTTTTGTTGTGATTTGGCGCTATACAAATAAAATTTGATTTTATTTGATTTTGACATAAGTATTCACAGCCGTTAAGAAAGAGGTTCCAATGATAACATGTAGTCCGTGCTCAATACTTTGTTGAAGCACCTTTAGTAGCAATTACAGACTCAAGTCTTTTTTGAGTATGATGCTACAAGCTTGGCACACCTATTTTTGGGCCGTTTCTCCCATTCTTCTTTACAGTACCACAAGCTCCATCAGGTTGGATGGGGAGCGTCAGTGCACAGCCATTTTCAGATCTCTCCAGATATGTTCAATCGGGTTCAAGTCTGGGCTCTGGCTGGGCCACTCAAGGACATTCACAGAGTTGTCCCGTAACCACTCCTTTGTTATCTTGGCTGTGTGCTTAGGGTTGTTGTCCTGTTGAAAGAAAACGTCACCCCAGTCTGAGGTCCAGAGTGCTCTGGAACAGGTTTTCATCAAGGATGTGTCTGTATATTGCTGCAGTCGTTGTTCCCTCGATCCTGACTAGTCTCCCAGTTCCTGCTGCTGAAAACATCCCCACAGCATGATGCTGCCACCACCATGCTTCACTGTAGGGATGGTATTGGCCAGGTGGTAAGCGGTGCCCGGTTTCCTCCAGACATGACACTTGGCATTCAGACCAGAGTTCAATCTTTGTTTCATCAGACCAGAGTTTTGTTTCTCGTGGTCTGAGAGTCCTTCAGGTGCCTTTTGGCAAACTCCAGGTGGGCTGCCATGTCCCTGTTACTGAGGAGTGGTTTCCACCTGGCCATACAGGCCTGATTGGTGGAGTGCTGCAGAGATGGTTGTTCTTCTAGAAGGTTCTCCTCTCTCCACAGAGAAATGCTGGAGCTCTCAGAGTGACCATTGGGTTCTTGGCCACCTCTCTGGCTAAGGCCCCTCTCTCTCAATCTCTCAGTTTGGCTGGGCGGCCTGCTCTAGGAAGAGTCCTGGTGGTTCCAAACTTCTTCCATTTAGGGATGATGGAGGCCACTGTGCATTGGGACCTTCAATGCTGCAGAAATTTTTCTGTACCCTTCCCCAGATCTATGCCTTGATACAATCCTGCCTCGGAGATCTACAGACAATTCCTTGGACTTCATGGCTTGGTTTGTGCTCTGACATGCACATTAATTGTGGAACCTTATATAGACAGGTGTATGCCTTTCCAAATCATGTCTAATCAACTGAATTTCCCACAGGTGGACTCCATTCAAGTTGTAGAAACATCTCAAGGATGATCAGTGGAGACAGGATGCACCAGAGCTCAATTTTGAGTGTCATGGCAAAGGCTGTGAATACTTATGTACATGTAATATTTAATACCTCTTGCAAAGATTTCAAACAAACTTTTTTCACATTGTCATATTGTATTGTTTGTAGAATTTTGAGGACAATAATTAATTTAATCCATTTTGGAATAAGACTGTAATCTAACAAAATGTGGAAAAAGTTAAGCGCTGTGAATACTTTCTGGATGCACTTTATGTAGGAAGGGGCCAGGAGCTTCCTATATGTCTGTGCCCACAGGCCTGTTGTCTCATGTTCCATCCATGGTCCCCTGTAAAGGCAAGAATTTTGCTAAACCTCATCCCCTTCTGAGCCACCTGCAACAACAGGGCTCGAGTCTATTGTGGTCCCACCATGCTGTGTTGACCAGCAACAAAAGAAAGTTCACCGGGTGCACTGCTGAGCACACATAACACCCCTCTTTACCTCACATGCACAAAGGCTTTTTATTTTAAATGTACTGTTAACAACCTTTTGTCTCACACTCCCTACCCCACCACCACCTGCTCTGTGTGCATGTGTACAGGACTATGAGTTGAACTTTGGCCTGTGGGAGAAGCACGTGGACAACGCTTGGCATGGTGGAGTGGCCACCATTGAGTACTGCCCAGGTGCAGAAGTGTGGGGGGTGGTCTGGACTTTGAGAAATGAAAATCTCACAAGCCTAGACAAGTGAGACACAAACACACAGGTGCTGATAAGTATAGCAGTTAGTATTTGTCATTGTAACTAATTCCGCATGTTGCTTTTTTTTGTCCATAGCCAGGAAGGGGTAAACACAGGAAATTATTCACCACTGGAGGTTTCAGTGGAGACGGACAAAGGAATGATACTCTGTAGGACTTACCAGATGAACAATTTCCATCCCTGTCCACCCTCTCCTCAGTACAAACAGGTAAGTGCATGTGAACACACAAACACTGGTCCAGAGGTGACGTACTTAAGCTGTCAAAGCTGTACATGCAATAAACGAATTACAAATGGTTTGTTAACTAGTCTAGTATTTCTTTTGAATTAATCAAGATATTTACTCGTGTGTCTTTGTCTCATATAAGGTGGTGTGTCTGGGCGCAGAACAGAACGAGCTCCCATTGGAGTACTTGAAGAAGCTGCAGGTCATTCAGACAAACAACTACAGTGGCCCTTCAATCCTTGATCAAATCAGAATAGTCGGGAAGTAGCAGTTAAAAGTGTATGGTTGGACTTGAAAACAGCAGCTGACAGAACCTCCAAAACAAGGTACATTTAGTAGCTGTTCTGACAATATGAAGAACAGAGTAGACAACAATAGAATACAGAACAGCTACCACCACCTTGTAGTTTTTGTCAAGTAATAGAATAGGGGGAAAAAAAGCAACTCAAGGTCCACTTACCAGCAGTGTCTGCGGGTTTCACCCAGATTTCACTGTCTTCATCCTTACCTTAATTGTGTAATATGTAGTAGTAAAGTGTCAGTAGTGTAATAATTAAATACTAATAATACTAATTTAATAGACATGATGAAGATTGTAAGACTTTAAACAGCATGTAGAAAGAGCTAGCAAGTGAACCTTAAAGAGGCCATGGCATGCTCATTTCCAGCCATTTAATGTTTAATCTTGGGTACCTCTAGATTAGTTTTGCACCCATCATAACCCCAAATAGTTGGTAATTATTTCAGAATGATAAAACCCGAGAGCCTCCTCCTGAAAATGAGAGGATAGATTGTGAATGCGCAAAGCTGTTGCTGGTGTTGTGTTGAAATCTTGTTTCCCCTAACGTGACTCCTAACATTATCCTAGCCACAACCACTGAGGGTGTTGCTACATGAAAGCGAGTTTTGAAGAGGGGAAACACTTTTCAACCCAAGGCCGGTCATGTAAAACTCAACAGCTCGCAAGTATATAAACCAGGTTGCCTCTGCATAGAAGTACAACATAAGTACACCTCATTTTTGAGCTTTCAATCACATTTAAAATGATAATTCATAGTTGTAACACTGTAGATAAGTCAGAAAACAGAAAAGCATGCCATGGGTTCTTTATAATTATAGTTCACCTTAAAATCATAAAGTAGAATTGTGATTTGGGCCCAATCCCATTTCTTTCTTTTTTTTTTACCCCCACCACTCATTTTCAAGAGGTCCCTGGTTTTTGAGTAAACAGATTTATAAGTAGTGGTTGAAATCTTCCCCTATGAAATGGGGCACCTCTTCAAGACCTCTATGCATCATGGGTAATTAATGATTTTGGTTAAGTAAGCAGATGCAGTGAATTTTGGTCATAAATTTGTAGTGGTAATTTCTCGTGTAGTCTATAGGTATCAGTTTGCAATTTTCAACAGCAGCAAAAGAAAATGCGAGGATAGGCATGTTTTTGGCACTAGGAAATGTTAGTGGATTGTGTTTGAGATGCATAGCATCAACTCCAGATAACATTTCTTGTAATTAGGCTTATACCACTCAGTTTTGAGTCTCCCTCTGAAAAACGTATGTTTGAAGGGTTATGTGGCCCTATCACTTTGCCCTATGCCCCAAACACTACACATGTGCATGCAAAACTGAGGGGTATGGTAAAGCGGTAGAGGCAAGGGGGTGAATTGAGATTTGGCCTAAAAGTAGTTATGAAGTAGAACTAGCACCTGCACTCGTGTGGCTATAAGTCAGTCATGCATGCACTTAATGAACCGTTGGCTGGGCCACAACATAAATCTTATTTGGAGCTGCTACTGAGCAATTTATTTGAAAAGTATCATGGCCAATGTATTTTAGGGCATCAATGAAACTGTTTAAACTCTGTATTTCCTGGGAGAATATTAAACAGATAAAAACCCTTAAGTCTTAACTCGTGTCAACCTTTTATGACTTTAACCATTCTGGTAAAGTCTGAATGATTTTCCAGGTCAGTCAATGAAATGACCTCACGATGCTTTAACACAGTCTGATTAAAACCACTGTATTACAAAATAAAGAATTTATGAATCATTTATGTAAATCAAACCACTTTATTTTTCTACAACACAGTGGCTTAGGACAGAATGAGAATGTTTACCTCTCCCAACATTTCTGATCCTCTAGGAGTTATAGAAAATACAGTATAGTACAAAAACAGCAGTGAGGCGAACAGAACATACATGATGGCAGAATCAACACCTAATAACATTTTATGTTTTGTTGAATCTCTAAGTTAGTTTCCACAAGTCTATGCAAATATGAAGACTTTACAATGGCACAAATAACTTCATCGAACAGTAAACCAAAGGCTTGTGCAAGCAACATGGTCAGGGACATAGAATAACCAAGTGTGCATTAAATCTGGGAATTCAGTAAAATTTCAAATCAAATATTTGTACATTCTTTACAATTTGGCTTCAAAACAGCAAGATGAACATTCTCAGAAATGGTCTGTGGGAGTTGGTGAGCAAAAAAAAAAAAAAAGTTTAAATATAGAGAAGAAAACAGCATCAAAAATATGGAGTAAAATATGGAGTAAAAGAACACGAATGGCAAATAGGTCCAATTATGCAAAGAAATGTATTTGTGAAGCATAATATAACTCAACCCTATACTGACATTGCCACTACAGCCTTGTCATTAGCAGACACGCACTGACACAGAAATCACTCACTTGTACAAATGGCCTTAAGTAAAGGGTTGAAGAACACAGCCATGAGGAACACATCAGTGCTTGAATTGAATATTGAAGACAGCCACGGCTGAATGAGATTTATGAACTGAAATATGTTATAGCCCAACAGAACAGTCGACACCATAATATTTCATTATCTCTGTCTGATGATGTGGAAATTAGAATATGGACCACAGACTGAGGTCAGATGACAGCTACAGTAAGATACTGCCCTCTGTTACATGTAACTTGTATGTTAGGAATTGCACTATATGTACTGCATTAAAAAAACATCTCTAGTGACTGTCAACACTCAAGGCCATCATTAAAGTACCAGGGTTTTAATCAGGGACATCTGCATGTGCATTATTAGCTGTTTTCATATCATTCCACTTTCACACATTTCTAAACTTATTCCATCTGCTCCACCTGTTCCCCATCTACAGGTTTTTCATTTCCACTTTCATCCATCGGTTCTGGTCCATCTTCACTGTTTTCTTTTTGCTCAGTTGTATCGCATTGCAACTGCTCTTCTGGGACGATAAGGTTGTGCTTAAGTTTGCGCAGTTCGGTCATGTTGAAGCCGAGGAGTACAGTAGCCGTGTTCCTCTTGAGACTCTTCACACACTTGCTGCGCTTCTTGCTGAAGAGGGCCGCGAGCTCTGCTTTAGTGAGAGACAGCCTCCTGCACAGTTCGTTGGTCTCGGCTTTGGTCGCATAGGGGTTCATGTTGAAGTATTTGGATATGAAGTCTCTGCGTTCCCCGCTGCAGCGGCGCTCAACTGGGCTGGGCTCCAACACCAGCTTCACTGTGGGGTCACTCTGAATCTCAGGCTCTGGTTGGGGCAACAACTTTTCCTGCTCTCGCTTCTTGCGCATTGCTGCCCTTTCTTCTCGCTCTCGTTTGTTGGCCTCAATGACCTGCTTCAATGCAGCTTCCAGCCTCTTCTTGGACTGCAGCTCTGCTTCTGTCTCTGGAGGCTCAGGACGGGGTGCAGCTGTAATCACACGAGCTGGAGTTAAAGTTTGTTTCATGGTAAGCCCTTGTGGCACTTGGAGAAAGTAGAGCCCAGATGGCTGACTGGGCTGCTGAACTAGTTTTGTAGGCTGTTGTGGTGCCACTGCAGGTTTGGGTGGCTGTGGTGGTTTTGGTGAACAACGGCATCGCTGAATGTGGAGCATCACAGCCTGCTGGGTGACCTTTCCTGTGTAAACACCATTACAGTATATGCATTTGAAAGCCTCCGTCTTGAGAATGGCATGAATGGTGGGTGCTACAAAGTGCTTTTGTTTTAAGTGCTGGAGGTGTTTGGATTCATTCTGAAACTTTTCATCACAGAAGGGACAGTAAGCAGTATTGATTTTCACAGGTGCTGTGCAGATTTCTGACTGGCTGCTGGGCTGCAGCTTAAAGAAGATGAGGTCAAGGGAGCTTGTGACCAGGGCAAGATTGACCTCTGTGTCTCCGAGTATCTCTTTTGGTGCAGTTGTTTGGACATCAAAGTAAGGGAATAGAATTCCTCCAACACCTTTTGAGTAGACCCTGTACTTCTGCCTCAGGAAATCACAGTATGCCTTGCTTGTAGGATTGTGATGCTTTATATGCTCTGCAAGCTGTTTGATTGAAAAGAACAAAGCCGAGCAGTACAAACAATTCAGGCCATGCAGCAGATGTTGGAAGACGCTCTTTTCTGATAGTAGAACTTTGCACGTTAGACATTTGACAGTTTTGTCAGGCATTTTCTTCAGGAACGCTGCTCGTGCTGCCAAACTTTCAGACTTGGTTGTAGGGGATTTTGTCTGGTGGGCAACTTCTGTATGCATGTCAAAGACACTGGAGGGGAAAAGTTCATTGCACAGGGGACAGGTAATCCATTTCTTAGTTTGTGGTAAAGAGTTACTTGTTTGCTCAACAGCCTTGAGAGGGGTACTGCTCTGAGAGACAGGCATTGCTACTTGAAGTGGAGCAAATGTGTATGTGGGCATGCCATTCACCCTGTTGCCAGTTGGGATCAGGTGACTCAGCAGAGACTGTGAGGTTAGCATGGTACCTTGTAGGATGATTTGGTTTGTTGATGCATTTTGTGCAACTAGAGCAGGCTTAGGGTCAGTGCCTGCTCTAGCCGCCACATTTGCTTGCAGTCCTGACGAAACGAGGATTTGCCGAGCTTGTGGAGTCTGCTGTGGTTGTACAGCAGTGGGCGCTAGAGCCACTGGTGCCTGTTTCAGAGACACATTAGACACTGCGGGAAGGTGAACCAAAGATGGTGTTTGAGGCAAAGTACTTCGGAGAGCTATTGTGGCACCAGGCTGAAGCAAACCTTTAGCCTCAGCACTAGCTAGCTGCACCAGTGCTGACGCTTGAGGGGGCAGAAAAGCTTGGTTGGTTCCAGGGGTACAGATCAGAGTAGTACTGTTTGTACTTCCTTGAAGTTGTTGTAATGCCACCACAGTCCCAGCTGGTTGCCCATTACTTGGTAAAACCACAGGCTTACTATTGAATATTTGAGGTTGTTGTGGTTTAGGAGCAATACTTGGAAATGTCACAAACACGCCATTCCCATTAGGTGTTGGTTTTATGGTATAGTTCTTGTTTTCATGAATCATACTTTGCACTTGTGTACTGACTGAATAATGTGATGGCTCAACCAGCATGTGATGCAACATCTGGTCCAGAGTTCCAGTATTCACCTTACACACCTTGCAGCAGTAGACCTTTGCAGATGCAGGCCCTTGAAGGTGTAATCTGTAACCAATATACTGTTCTGCCACACTCTCCAAATGCTTGAGAATAATGTGCTTCTTCATTGCAAAGATAGAAGAGGTTGGAAATCCACATTTTCGACACTGATACCTCTCATTTCCCCGATGGGTTGTTAAGGATCCTTCTCTTGGTGGTTGTATATGGGTTGTAGGTTTGGAATGGAAGAACAACATGTGCTTCTTGACAACCTTGGGGTGGCCAATGAAGACACAATGAGAACAGGGTGCCAGCGCACAGAATGACTGAACATATCCGTGGCAGCGAGAGACATGAGCCCTGAAGTTGCAGATGTTTTGTGAAGAGTACTTGCACAGGGTACAGCACAGAGATCGAGACCGATAAGGCCACTGAAGAGAGAGAGGGGAAAAAAGCCCAGCAAGTAATTTGACAAGTGTAAAACATTCACCCTAATCTTCATGTCTTAATATCAAATGACTAGAAAGGTATGAGGTTGCCAACAGGTCAGTCACATTTTTTTAAAATTATTTAACACAATCTGCTTTTTATAAGTTATTAAAAGTTATCATAATAAAGATAAATAATTGTGTTCCATTTGTATGTTGTCAATATTTGTCATATTCTTTTATAGCTTAATATATGAAAATGTTTTACTTATGGTGTATGTTGTCTGTTGTTAGTGTAGGGTGGAAATATTTTTTCTTTGTTGCTGTATTAGTTTAAAAAACTCTAAATTATTTTAAAAAGATAAACTGGAGCAAATTGTTAGTCACCTTTTTCTGTAGTTTGCCATTGTATCCATCTGTGAAATCAAACCATTCAGTGTCTTGAAAGGCCTCATCTTCATCTGAATTTTTCTCTGAGTTTTCACTGAGATCCTACAAAAAAAAAAACAGCACAGAAAAAAAATCTTAAAGAATAAATACTGGTACAATGTGAAATAACCATTTAAAGTCCTACATTCAGAGGTTAAGCAAATAAGGCCTAGCAGTCAAATATACAGTGTAATCCTGTATGCAGTGGCTATTTTATTAGCCACACCTAGTTACAACTGACAGACTAATACAAAAGGCCACCAAAAAAAATCTTACCTTCATGAAGGTTATAATAATCAAGCAGTTTGTGCTGAGTTGTATTGTGTTATAATGAGAAGTGTTTGTTTTATCCACCCATTTACTACGTGGAAACTGTGCTTGTTAAAGTAATCAGAGTGAATAACTGAATACACTGACAATTTATCTGGTGTAAGAGTAATCTTTGGTGTTGGAGATGGAACAGTTTTCCTGCCCCAAGCTACCAGTCTCAGGTGTACAATCTCTTCCATCTAAAAAGAAAAATTGTATTTAATTTGTCCCAACAATCTAGGTGCCACTGTGGTCAATGGAACATCTGTCTCCCAACTTGCTACTATGGGGTGGGGGTTGGACAAAAAAAATGCAAAAATATTAAATTATATAAAAATATCTGACAAGTCAAGGTACGTCATCACCCTCATGTAAATCCAATATTGCCATGTGGCAGTCCTGCTCATCGATTGGCAATATTAGTCCAACAGAAAATCTGACAGCAGACATGATGTCATATTGCCCAACCCCACTTGTTTCCATAACAACATACTAGTGACATTGTCTCTCTCTCTCTCTCTCTCTCTCTTTCTCATATACACATACACACACTTTTATACTGTCATATTCTTCTAATGACACATAATAAAGAAATTTGTTCCAGTCCAGGAAAAACAGTTTCTTAGTTATATCAAGTCTTCTCATATAAGATGGTGACAGGAAATGACGTTGTCACTTTGGTTTTGTGTTAAAGAGGTTTAACTTTCACCCCCCACCCCCGAAAAAAGCAAGAGAGATGTCACCTTTATGTAAATGAAAAATTCGTTCACCAGAGAAACAAGAATTGTGATTTTCCTGAAATTAAAATTGTATTTTCTATCCATCAGAATTTGGATGAATGTTGTCAAACAATGGTACAGGGTTAAAATGGTATCAAATGCAGAAGAGTTATCTTTGTGACTCAAGTGTATGTAATAAATAAAAGGCACAAGCTGGGGCCATCATCCCCCATAGCCTTAATACAGTAGAAGAACAGTGTAATATTTGAGCCATATGAACTTAAGTTTTTTTTCCCCATTTTTTTATTCCTTACTTATATGTATCACTATTGCGCTGATGACTATTAAAACTGCTTAGTATTTCCTGTTTGTCTGTTAAAGAATGTGTATGCAGGATGTCTGCACTTCGAAGTTGACGAAATGTTCATGTTTTTGTTAGATACCGCCTGAGTTACAACACTCACACACCATTTGATTAGTATATTTATTAAGCTGACGTTAGCAGAGGTTGGCCTGCTCAGGCCTATGGCCAATAGCATTAGGATACGTGTAAGTCTGTCCGGGGCAGTTCCCGCCTACGAAGATAAATGGAACTACAGACAATAGTCCGGCGCTCTTTGATGACGGGGTTCCTGCGGAAGCTCCGCTTCTCTGGGCCCAGCGCTGTATAGCTTTACATGTGACCAGACTGTGAATAAATTTCTACTGATTTTATAGAGTCCTCTTCTGTTTTCTGTTCTCGGGCTTTCAAGTAAAGAACTAGGTCTAACAATGGCATTTGAAACTTTTTGAGCTACTGTGACAAAGACTCACTTTGCAAGTCAATTTTAAGTCAACCTATTTTATGTGTATTGTTAATTGCACTTTTATACAAGCCTTAGGACCAGGCCCAAATATTATAGATATCATCACTTATCTTCCAAGTTAAACCATACCTTCAGCAGCTTTTGGCAATCTTCCAGGCCAATCTCAGAAAGTATGTTTTTCACTGCTTTGCGTGCTTTTCGGATCTTCTCGGTACTTCCCACTGGAACCTGATACATTATTCCTCACAAGCCTAGTAAAACAAAACAGGTTTTACTGTTATGGACCATTAATACACAATTATTCTAAAGCTATGACAAATATCACAAACTAAATATTTTATTCCACGTATTTTAAAGCACATTCAAATGTATATGACAGTAGGTTAACAGCATCTCCACCTCAAGACCTATAAAAACTTTTCAATGCGTTACTTTAATTTCCACTTTTTAGTGCTTCCTCAAGTAGATTTGGTTTGTTTAGGGAATCTGCAGAAATAAAGAAAAATAGTAGTAAATAGAAAATGACACATAGGCCTAATTGTGAAAAACGCCACAGGAAAACAATTAATGATTAACTGCTCAGTTAAATACATCCAATATAACAAATATAAATAAGCCAGCATTAACATCAATCACGCCTAATTCTGTCAACAAATACAGCTATTAAACGCCTAGTGTCATTTTAAGTCATGCTACTACTAAAAAGGGGGAAACTGATGAAAAACGTATTCACTTCTGCATAAGGATCACACCCTGGACTTTACTTTCCCATAAGAATGACACAGGGAAAACCACAACACGGCTGTAACGTTGCATGGATGCGCCTGCATGAGCATCATGGCACTGCAACTAAAACATAACGGTGCCTACTGTGCAACAGCTGAGTTTACTTATGAGTATCTAACTATAATCTCTCTACGTAAATAACATGTAGATGCTGGCTATTTACTAACAAGTAAGATGAACACTTTATTTTTAACCACTTATGAGTGTACATTTTGATTCACGGACTACATAAAACCTGTCTCCTTCACCCAAGTGCCACACATGCTAACATGCTGTGCGTATGCTGACCACCCATTAATTAAAACCATTGATTAAAAACCCCTGGTCACACACTGACAATAACAAGCCGGGTCAGTGTGACGGTCACGTCGCTTCTTCGTACTTGGTGATGGCCTCAGTCTCATCATGGATACTCACCTCGTCCAGTATTCCGTATGGGTTAACGATAGTTGTCGCTGTGCCACCTCCGACAAAGCTAACGTTTTCCACTTCCACCGGCCCGTGTGCGTCGGTAATCTGCGTCTGCGGCCAGCGCTGCACACAGATACTTATCCTAGCAGCATCCTCTCGTTACATACACCACTGTTGAAAGAAGATCAGAGGTGATGTTTTCGAACTAACGTTACTCCAAACGTAAATTAGTTTTTGTACAGCTTTTGTCCCTTTCCTCCCCTACTGAAAGGAAAAAAAATGGCGCACAAGTTGAGGATCTGACGTAGCCGTCTTCATTTGCATACTGCACACACTGACCAATGGGAGGCATCTACCTTGAAAAGCTTTCTAACTTTGTATTCTTTTAACAACGCTGTCAGCCATAGTTTCAGTGTATCCAGGTGATATATTTTATTATTTAGTTCTGAATTTTATGTAATAACTGACTTGTTAATTATACTTTTTATTACATAACACTTAGCTAGGTAGGGGGCGTGGTTACTGCGATCCTCACTGTGTCACGTGATACATGACTAACATGGCTCACCAATGAGCTATCGAGAAAATGAGCTAAAAGGGTGGTCCTCTACTGTGACGTCATATTAGGCTAGGTTTTTTTTTTTGCCAATTACACTGAACCACCATATTGATTGGAGGAGTGAGATTGATAGTATAGATGTATTTTGGCTAGCATAGCATAAAGTTTCATATGTTTAACGATTAGCTACCACTGCACTTAACGCTTAGTAATAAGTACTTTTTCAGAATGGCAATCTTGTTTTCAACCTTCGCACCTCACAACATGTAATAATCTCTGGTAGAAGTTGAGCAAAACCCAAATAGTCTGATTTATAGACTGCAGGCTATATAAAGACTTGATCATAGACATGTACAGTCTATGGTCTGAATTATGGTCTACCACTAAACCTTTTACGAGCACTGGAAATAAATCGACATTTCATCAAAATTACAATTTGATCTGGTCTGGTAGGTAGGTAGGTAGGTAGGTAGGTAGAACTTTATTGATCCCGCAGTGGAGAAAGTAGCAGCAGCAGTAAAGGACAAAACAGCGCTGAAGCTTCTTCGTGGTAGTTTAGTAACCTACAATTTCTTGCATTCCGGTCAAGTGTTACATACCAATTTCGACAATTGTAGAAAATGTATTTGGCTGTTACACATTACAACGAGGTGATGTGTCATAAATTCCTTCCACCACATCAATTCATGTCATGTAAGGGCCATTACAGTTTCCTCACATAAGACCCCTGTCATTTCGCATCGGTCAAATCTTCTCTTGATGTTGAAAATATTTCGCAAAATTTGGTAGCATGAAGCTATCTTTAACATCACATCTACCATTGTGCCCTCAGCTCAAGCGATGCAAACCAGGATGGGCAAAGAGAGGAATAACAGTGATAGTAAAGTTTCAACAGATGTCTGTACTCCACTGGTTGTACTGCAGCATTTGTTACAATTACAGATCAGCCAACATCCCAAAGGTAACACCACTAAAGGAGTTAGTTGAGTTAGATAACATCAATTCTAAATGCAAAGCAGTGAAGAAAAGAGAAGGATTTTCCATTGTGAGGTTCCATTTCATTACAAAGCTGTGCATTTAAACCAGTCAGAACCATCAGTCAGAATCAACAGTCAGATTTTATTCATACTTGCTCTTCATACAGATTTACTGTGATATCAGTGTTTGTGTACATTTGGGTGTGCTGTATCATAGGCATCCATACAGTGCCTTGCGAAAGTATTCGGCCCCCTTGAACTTTGCGACCTTTTGCCACATTTCAGGCTTCAAACATAAAGATATAAAACTGTAATTTTTTGGGAAGAATCAACAACAAGTGGGACACAATCATGAAGTGGAACAAAATTTATTGGATATTTCAAACTTTTTTAACAAATAAAAAACTGAAAAATTGGGCGTGCAAAATTATTCAGCCCCCTTAAGTTAATACTTGGTAGCGCCACCTTTTGCTGCGATTACAGCTGTAAGTCGCTTGGGGTATGTCTCTAACAGTTTTGCACATCAAGAGACTGAAATTTTTGCCCATTCCTCCTTGCAAAACAGCTCAAGCTCAGTGAGGTTGGATGGAGAGCGTTTGTGAACAGCAGTTTTCAGTTCTTTCCACAGATTCTCGACTGGATTCAGGTCTGGACTTTGACTTGGCCATTCTAACACCTGGATATGTTTATTTGTGAACCATTCCATTGTAGATTTTGCTTTATGTTTTGGATCAGTGTCTTGTTGGAAGACAAATCTCCGTCCCAGTCTCAGGTCTTTTGCAGACTCCATCAGGTTTCCTTCCAGAATGGTCCTGCATTTGGCTCCATCCATCTTCCCATCAAGTTTAACCATCTTCCCTGTCCCTGCTGAAGAAAAGCAGGCCCAAACCATGATGCTGCCACCACCATGGTTGACAGTGGGGATGGTGTGTTCAGGGTGATGAGCTGTGTTGCTTTTACGCCAAACATAACGTTTTGCATTGTTGCCAAAAAGTTCGATTTTGGTTTCATCTGACCAGAGCACCTTCTTCCACATGTTTGGTGTGTCTCCCAGGTGGCTTGTGGCAAACTTTAAACAACACTTTTTATGGATATCTTTAAGAAATGGCTTTCTTCTTGCCACTCTTCCATAAAGGCCAGATTTGTGCAGTATACGACTGATTGTTGTCCTATGGACAGAGTCTCCCACCTCAGCTGTAGATCTCTGCAGTTCATCCAGAGTGATCATGGGCCTCTTGGCTGCATCTCTGATCAGTCTTCTCCTTGTATGAGCTGAAAGTTTAGAGGGACGGCCAGGTCTTGGTAGATTTGCAGTGGTCTGATACTCCTTCCATTTCAATATTATCACTTGCACAGTGCTCCTTGAGATGTTTAAAGCTTGGGAAATCTTTTTGTATCCAAATCCGGCTTTAAACTTCTCCACAACAGTATCTCGGACCTGCCTGGTGTGTTCCTTGTTCTTCATGATGCTCTCTGCGCTTTAAACGGACCTCTGAGACTATCACAGTGCAGGTGCATTTATACGGAGACTTGATTACACACAGGTGGATTCTATTTATCATCATTAGTCATTTAGGTCAACATTGGATCATTCAGAGATCCTCACTGAACTTCTGGAGAGAGTTTGCTGCACTGAAAGTAAAGGGGCTGAATAATTTTGCACGCCCAATTATTCAGTTTTTTATTTGTTAAAAAAGTTTGAAATATCCAATAAATTTCGTTCCACTTCATGATTGTGTCCCACTTGTTGTTGATTCTTCACAAAAAATTACAGTTTTATATCTTTATGTTTGAAGCCTGAAATGTGGCAAAAGGTCGCAAAGTTCAAGGGGGCCGAATACTTTCGCAAGGCACTGTATAAAGCACTTGAACACAGCCGAGGCCAACAAAGTGCTTAACATAAGATACAATTCAAAACATCTAAAAACGTGACAACTACAATATTAAAATACCAATAAAATAACATAAAAGAACCAACATAGCAAAATAACAAAATACTATCAACCAAAACTCAGCCCAAACAGAGTCTCATAGCATATCAAACGCCAAAGCATACAAGTGAGTCTTCAAGTAAGTTTTAAAAATAGCCAACGAGGCGGCCTGCCTGATGTAAAGGGGCAGCGCATTCCATAGCTTAGGAGCCACAATGGAAAACGCTCTGTCCCCTCTGAGTTTACGCCTGGCCCACGGTACCTCAAGCAAGAGCTGGTCAGCTGATCTGAGGCACCGAGAGGGACTATAAGGAAATAAAAGCTCAGCAAGATACAATGGAGCAAGACCATTCAAAGACTTAAAAACAAATAAAAATCTTAAAATGAGTCCTGAAAAACACTGGAAGCCAATGAAGGGATGCCAAAATAGGAGTTATATGCTCCCTTTTACGCACCCCAGCCAAGAGACGGGCAGCCGCATTTTGAACCAATTGTAGACGAGCCAGTGATGACTGGCTGACTCCGATATAAAGAGCGTTACAGTAATCCAAGCGTGATGTAATAAATGCATGGATTACTGTCTCAAAGTGCTGACGTGAAAGAAAAGGCTTTAGCTTCGCTATCTGCCTAAGGTGG